CTAACCTTCCCCACCTCCCCCTCTTCAACCCCATCCTCCCCCAAAAGCCTTTCCCTCGCAACCCTCTCCACAGCCCTGAAATCCCCCACCACAAGTCCCTCTGCCTGAATTTTCTACCGGACAGAGAATATTCGCTCCGGGAGCCGTGATCCACACATCTGCTTGCATGTTCGGAATCACGGGGTTAGTTAGAAATCATACGGTTCAGAGAACTTTGTGGTTGGAGGGCAGATTTGCTGCAGCGGAAATGGATTTTCTACTTCGCCGTTTTGGCGATATTTTTATTCCCTTGCGCGTTACTCGTAGAGCTGGGCTTAAGCTCCACCGTTGGGTAAGTGCTTGTCGTTCCAGGAGCGCAGAGAATACCGGAGGAATTACGGGTTGTGTTAAGAGAGTTGGAGACGCTCCTTTCCAGGGCACTGGTAACAGGAATAGTTGGCGTTGGAGTTTTGGTGATCCGGTAATTGTTGCGCGGAAGAAAGTACAGGTGCGCGTGTTGATTAAGATGTCGCGCTGGGGGAGGTTGTGCAGGATTTGTTCGAGGATTTCGGGGATGAAGAGCGCGCTTGGTGTGGCACCTGTTGGGGAGGACATTGCGAACGGGGGGTTGGAGATGTTTAGGTGTTGAAGGTTGAGGAGTGGTAGAAGGGAGCGTGTTCTTGGTGGGTTGAGCTCCGCGCGGTCTCCGTCGGCCAAAGATTGTGGATGGGTTCAAGTTGTTGGTGATTGTGTAGTCGCGATGCTGCGATGGAATGTTGATCTCTCGTATACTGATGTGCTGCAGAAAGATGCAAAGAGTTGAAGATTTTTGTTGTGAAAAGGATGGGAAGGGATTTTTGCCGGGCAGCCTGACAACTAGCGTCACAGGTCCCAAACAGGCAATGAACAACGCATGAGCTGTAGTCACTGTCAGTTTGATCAGCCTACGAACAGATAGGTACAAAGCCGCAATGTAGCAGAACGCAAAGAAAGGAGCAAAGTAACAGTTAACCGTCTGCTTGTCGCGGAAAAGAATCCCCCAGGCTCCTTCGCTAGAATGCAAGCCTCTCATGAACAAAAACAGCAGAATAGCATAGCAAAGCAAATCGAAGGGAGTTTGGACACAAAGAAGACTCGATCGTCAGCCGCATTGCCAACGCCATCGTAGTCTCCACAGTCATCCACCCCAGCATCAGCACCCTCCTCTCACCCTTCGCTTAGCTTCGACAGCCCTGCACCGAAGGATGTGTATATCTTTCGGACGAGTGTACGTCCAAGCGCATAAAGAAAGAGTGCTTCCCGGTATTCTGCGTCGATACCATATCTTCATTGGCATCCATCATCTCCCCTTTCAAACTCAAACAATCTGTCCAAAGCCACTCCTGGCCATTGACCTTGTATCGGTACTGACGTCCCATAACACCCAACCACAGCACATTCTCAGGCATAACAGGACCTTCGAACTTGTACTCGCCCGGAAAATCCTTTCTCACTTGCTCGATGCCTTTCCCCTGCAATTTGACCAGCTCTCCAAAATTCAAGGCCTCGCCACCATCACTGATAAATGTGTACCACAGACAGCGACATCTCGCCGTTGTAAAATCCCAAAGAGCCATTTCGAAAGGGATGATAGGACGAGTCATGACCATGGTGGAGATCTCGCTCGATTCCCGCACAATTCTCGCGTTGATGTTGACGATCACATCCAATTTAAACGTAGGGAGGTGAGAGCTGGGTGAACGGTCCTGGCTCTTGTCTCTCGGAATCATGAAGTTGTTCAGCTCTACGAACGGCTTGTCTTGCTCGAGGACCTGGATCTCGTGGCTAGGATCGCAGGGCTGTGGAACAGGCCCTTCCCAAGTAACCGGGACCAGGAAGAGTTTCCGATCTAGCTTGATGGAGTTTTTGATGAGGTTGTTGAAGAATTTGCATACGCGCTTCGAGGTGATGATGTCTAGTTGTGGGAGGTACTGGAGAATGTTTTCGAGGATTTCTGGGACCTCCAATGCGGGTGGCGATGGGTGGGATGGAGTGGTAGCGGCCTCGATGAGTGGAGTGACGGCGAAGGACATTGTGGTAGCGGAAGACATGGTGGTAGCGGAAGCCAATGCGGTGGTTGGAGAGTAATTTCGCGGTTGGATGGTGGCTTGAGAAGAGGTTTGCAAGCTGGAGGATGAGAACGCATGCGAAGAAAAAAGCTGATTTCGGCGTGTGGGTTTCCTGGCACGTCACTGCTGTAGGGTATAAATTGATTGAGACATATATATGTACGATCTCGACTTTGCAAGATTTCGCTCAGTATTCACAGACACCACGAATTCATCGCTTTACACGGCAGTACTATACGTTTGCTAGAATTATTGACACTGCACAATACCACACACCTCACATACTCATGTTTGTCAGGCAAGATACTCGTTTCTTCCATTTTTTAATAAAAATAGAACACTCCATATCGAAGTGTCACCCTCGACCGTTCCATAATCGCGCCCTGATAGCCACATTTCACCGTTGAATGTCCTCCTTAGGGACCCTCCCTGGCATGCTGGCTTCAAAGTCCCGCCCCAGAGCATCGCAGCGCTCTCCCTCGCCCACGAGCTGGCGTAGCGATTCCAAATCTCCATCATCAGTCTGTAGCCGATGTTCTGGTCGTCTAATCCTCTTGCCACCCTTCCCGCGTCCAGAATGCAGCCATGATCAATCGTCGTTCTCCATAGTCTTACCATCGACCCTGAACCGGACCCCACTTAGCATAGATAGCAGCCATTGCCAACCACTGAAGGTGTTGGTCTCGCTACCTGGGTTCTGGAGAAAACACTCATGGCGGTTCTCCTTAAGCTCGTCCAACACCCACTGCTCCATACTCCACAAATCTCCGATCGTATAAACCTCCGTCTCAATCGCTAGAGTATGACACGTAAGTAGGGCCTGCATCTCCAATTAAATAACACAATGTAGAATAAGTGGTCGGGTCAAGAAACTGCTGGCCATCTCGGGAGGCATATCCATTCTCTTGAAGTCAAAATACCAATCGATGCGCTCTCCGTCATCGAAGAAGAAGTGCTCTGGACCAGTGAGAACCACCAGGTTCATGTCGACGAACGTCTTCTTGCTATCCTCTATTCTACGCGTTCCTAGCGAACGCTCTCAAGGGACTACGACGTGAAATAAATTACGTTGGAGGTTCTGGGTCTCGGCAATGACGGCGGTGAAAGTCTTGGAGATCTGCCRGGAAAGAAGTAAATCCTTGTACAAGAGGCCAAGAAGAATCTGCTCGAGTAACCCGGGTACATGGAGGACCTCATCATAAGCTGTCAATCCTGATGCCTGGAGGTTTGGCGTGGTGGTGGTAGCCGTGGCGACATAGGTGGTCTGGTCGACGGTTAGGATTGTCTCTTTGATTTCGTTCGATTTCTTGATCAGCGTGGCTGGGTTTGATGATGGAGTGTGAAAGATAGGCGCCGCGCCGGTAGAGCTGGGCTGAGGAGAGGCGACCAGAGAGTCTGGGAGATCGATATGCGCGGCAATTGTAGGCTCGATGGCGATGGACAGCGCGTGGACTTGGGTAGGAATTGATACTGTGGTATGCTACGCCATCACGTTGACTGCGGTGATTTCAATTGCGACCACTTCGATCTTATGGAGTTTGTAACGGTCAATCAGTTGAAGATGTCGAGAGGAGAGTCTCGGAAACTCGGAAATGCGGGTGGAAGTTTAGAGGCGCGTCTCCGTTAGAATATATAGCAAGGCCGGAAGGCGCGTGACCGTCCGCGCAAGTCAAGCAACGAGAACAGCATTTACAAACACTTTTCAAGGATTTCTAGAAAGGCGCTCTAGTTCGAGCGGGATACATGGAACGCCATGGGCTTCTTACTTGGCAGAGTCACTTCCTCGAAGATGACGAGTCTTGCTATGTCGGCTGACGGGAGGTATGGTCAAGTAGACACGCGCGGCAGGTCTTGTGAAATCATTTGAGTGCTTTATATCCCTTCCTCATAATTCATGAAGGCAAAGCGCCGTAGTCAAGCCCGAGTAACGCCAACAAGTATACAGGAACCGCCTTCCATCCCTGTGGTCCCGTCTCGCCTCAGCACACCATAGCCACCTCCCCACCCATCGCTAGACGCCGAGTCAAGGAGTTGAGACCACCTAGACTCATCGACTGTAGTACTAGGTCTCCTTCTCAACACCACAGTCTGCTCCCATTCAAATCGACATTCACCCCAGTAGGAAGATAGACACACCACACGCACTTCGTAGGAGCCCAGTCATCGCCATACTTCTTCTTGAACTTCGCCACCAGCTTATCCTTAGCCTTCTTCATCTCCCCAAGCGTCACATCCCCGCACTCGAGCCCAAGATCATGGACATCTCCATACAAGTGCACCATGAGCTCGATTTCCATATTGGGCACGACGGGGCGGGTCACATACATCTCGGCGATGATGGGCGGCATGTTGTCCGAATCGAAGTCTAGCCAGAGGTGCCTCTCGTCGGAATCGGCCCTAGGTCCAGTCATGGTAACCGGGTTGAGCTCGACGGTGACATGTCTCTTGCGAGAGACTGWGACTTGTTTCTTCCCCGGGCCAGGATCAGAGGCGTTTTGCCAGGGGTTTTTGGGCAGCAGTGGTCCGACCCAGGGGACTCGAATGGTGAAGTCGAATTCGCGTGGTGTTGCTGTCACGGTCACCACGTTGTCGTCTGCTGGAATTTCTCCTCGAGCAATGGCGGCGGCGCGCAGCTTGTTGATCAGCTTGTTGTGCATTTTTGCTGTGGTGATTTCTTGCTGGAATGAGTTATTCTTGCGGTGGAGGTTATGCGCCGGCGAGCGTTGAATGTGTTGGCCTCGTGGAATGTCGTTGTGTAAGAGAGAGAGTAGAATGGTTGCCACGAAGTTTGTTGGATGCGGATAATCTAGCGCGGGAGATGCGAAACTCTAAAAAGGAAGAACAATGGCGTCATCTGCTGCTTCGCGTAGACACGTGAAAAGTAGAAGATCCAACATCAGTTCCAGTGATAGCTGAGTGCTTGTTGTCTTCAAGTATATCTGGCCGAGATGATTGAATACAGAGAGCGAGCCCAGCGGTCACTGCCGACTCCTCCCAAGAGATGGGTGAATGGCTGCATCTCTCCCCCAGGAGAGTATGGCCTTGAAGGTCTGCGTACGGTTATGCTGCCATACGAACCAATTACACGGAGACAAAAGCAGAGCACATACCGAGCAGAATATGTAAAACGAAGAAGGACATGAAGAACCCGTCGCCGGCACAGCCATCCTTTACCGCAACGACGACAGGTCATCTTGGCCTTGATCACCGCCTCGTCGTTTAGCACCGCGCGCGACTTCTCCGCTGCCTCATCATTATTCCCATGCGGCTTCTCTGATTTCGCATTCCTCCAGCGCAACTCCCTCCGTACATCATTTGACGGAAAGGCCATCAAACACGAGCATGCAGGAAGCTTTGCCTAGTTCACCTGGGCTGACTAGCTGGACAATGTCAAGAACAAAGATACGAACAAGCATGTGCTTCGATGATAGCCTAGAAGTAAGCTGCCAGGCTATCAGCATACAGAAGAAGTAAGCACATGCAAAATACCGCCAGGCACATCTAAGCTCCAGCAGCAGCTTACACCTCCATGTGAGAGTTACAAGGTCTACCAGACCGGAATCTCTGCCCGGAGTTCAGAAACTACGGAACAGGCCGATTTCTCATCTTTTACGGTGCTCACGCGGCCTTGTTATGAAAGAAAACTTGAGATCGAAGCTTTCTCAAGGAGTACGCCCTTTTCTGCAGTGAGTCCCTATCAAGTTCAATGAAGTTTATTGCTGTCTAAGGTAAGCTCCGGAGTGCCTCTTACCTCAAAACATATCCTCCACCAAGATGAAGCGTAGGCTTACGAGAGTGCAGTTTTCTAAGTAGCCTCCACGGCGACAACTCTGATCGTACGCATCCATACGACGGGAAAAAATGACCAATACGCTGTCGCCTGGCTTAATGCAACAAGAACCCAGCACCTACTACAACTATAGCTCGCACACTTGGCACTGTCCTAGAAAGAACTCCTCCCCGAACTGAATTTTGGCTGTCTGACACCTGCATCAACAAATCCCGTGCTGATCTTTGACATGTATAAAGAAATCGAAGTGTTCTGATGGCTTCTAAACCCTCTTTCGCCAGGATTATGTTAGCGGGAGAAACGGAAAGGTCCATGATGAACGCCGTGGACCACATAGCTTTCGATCTTCTAGACTTTGGCAAAGGAAATCCTGGTAGCATACTCATAGCAAGGAGACAACTAGCCTACGACTTCTAAGCCCGCTCCCAGACTCGCATTGCTCAACTGTCAGTTCCACGGATATTGTAAATCAGACTTCATCACATCTTTGGCCTAGGTTCCCTTCAGCCATTCGGCAATCGCCTGGTCTAGCCATAATAAGAGGAAGAAGATTACTCCGCTAGTGTTGACAAGACTGGGCAGCTCTCAGGTTCTGGCGATAGACAAGAGGATCATGCTTCAAGTCATAGTAATACACTCTCAAAAACTTACGAACATAGGTGGCGTCGTTGTGGWAAAATTGAAGTACAAGAAGCGGTATCGTAGGAACGAACTTGTGTTTCGGGTAAAGAGGGTAAAGAGTCGAGACACGTGACTGAAAGATAGGTGGTTGGAACAAAGACCGAGCACTAATAGGGAGGCTGAGAGATAGCAGGGAAGAAGATTGGACTTGAAAGAAGATGATGAAATCTATACAGGTGGGACAGGGAACGTCAAGAGCAGCCAGAGCTGTCGATATGCGGATTTCCCAACGAGACAGGACACTTCCAGTCATCTTTAATAATGTCTTTAGGCCGTGTCCTCCGCAGAAACGACGATTCTAGAGCTACCAGAACCTTTATCACTAGCATAGCGCCCTGTTATTCAATGGAGAGGGCAGTTAAGGGCGCGCTTCTTTTGATGATTCTCTCACATCGACAGCTCTGAGAATAGCGAGGCTTCTATATGGGGAGAGAAGCCTCGAGAGACAGCGGGGATATTGGAAAATGGAAGTGTAGTGAACATTATTTTATTTCGTTGCAAAAGCCGAACACTACCGCCTTTTGCACATCCGAACATTGCGCCGTCACCATGTGTAGATCAACAGAATCAACGCTCAGGTGTCCCACGACGCTTGCCGAAGAAAATCGTCTGCCAGGCACCAATGACGAAAAGCAAAAGAAAAGCCGAATCCCGCAGAACACCATCACACCCTCGTGATCGTAAAGAAACCCGAAGCCCGCGTAGAGATGCACCCTTCTCGTACAGTCCTGTAAAACATCCCCATAGAGACTTCCACCCTGCCTCAGCATCCTCAATATCCCCCGAGATCTCCCCTGCCACATCACACCCATGTCGTCGCCGGGCTCCTCAACTTAGAGGCATAACTTCTCACCGGCTCGCCGCCCACTTGGACATCAAGAGATGCTGGCAAGAACAGCGTCCAATTGTACTGAATCGCGTTATAAGGACACGGCTCATCGTAGTCAAGCTCCATGTTAAGTCCGTCGACGGGGCTCATTATTGCACGGGCATCGTACTCCGCCCTCATTCTGTCAAGAAGCCTGGCCTCAGCAGCCGCGATGTCGCCCAGCGTGAAAGTCTCCGGGTCGATGTTGAGTGTCTCGTAGTGTCCGGTGTAGGAGGAGGGCCCGTGGGAATCAAACCATTCTTGGTCTGGGCTGGCACCCATGGTGTAGTCTACGTAGCAGCTCACCTGCATGTTGGGAATCGTGGGGTTCGTGAGTGCCATGCTGGAGACTTTGGCAGAGATGGCTTCAGCTGGGAAATGCAGGTCGAGGTGATGCCAGCCGCCCCAGCTGGACTCCTTGAACCACTTGCCGACTGCTGTCAGTGTGTTGAGCTCCACGATGGGGTGGTCGTGTTCGGCGGGATGGACTGTTGGCGTTCCATCACCCCCATAGTTGAGGTCGGGGTGGACGGGGAGTGGTGCTGGGCCAGACCAGGGAACATGCACATTGAAGAGCCGTTGCTGCAACTTGACGCTGTCTTCAATCAGAGCTTTGAAGTGTTTGCAAACTCGCTCGGCTCGAGCAAGGTCTTTGTGATGCAGGTGACTGAGGATTTTCACGAGGAGTTCCGTTATTGAAATGACTTTGTCGCGCGCGTGGGAGTTGCTTGAGGTGCGCGTGTCTGGCGCCATCGCCGTGTTGCTGGCAGTGCGACTCACTGCCTCGAGGTGAAGCGGTGGCGGAGAGTGCGCTGGAACACCCGTGTCTGGTGCGAACATGGCGTTGTTGTTTGTCGAGCTCATGATGTCGAGTCAATGTGGTGAGTGGAGGAAGCTGAGTGTGGTGCGAACCAGAGCAAAAGGAGCTGTTGCGGTGAAGTGAGAAGTTCGGAGGAGGTTAATGTTCGGATGTAGGGTTAGGGTTGGGGTTATGACGATGAAGTATTTGAGCTGAGGGTTTCTCGACCCGCTTGTCTCTAGTCGGAGTTTGGTTTGATAACCACTCTACGTCAGATCACAAGGATATGTAGTCACCCAAGTTGTGATGAATAGAAGTTACAGTGTACTTTCTTGTGTAAACCCCCTGTGTGTAGTACCAAATCGTTGCCAAGTATCGCGCGTGACTGGAGAACGCGCCTGTGGAAAAAAGCATTTTCGGGTACCGCGAGTCGCTCTCCAAGAAGTCACACGTCGTCCATGGCATATTGTTATATACTTGATAAACGATGAAGCAGGATACAGCATTCTGGAGAGTATGATTGCAAGAAATGTCGAACTTCCTTCTATCCTATATCCCACTGATTGTTTGCTGCTTCTTTGTAATCCCATTCATGAGCTCCTTGTGAAGGCTTTTCTGGACAACAGATAACTGATACTACGAAAAATGCCACAGGAATTAAGGAAGTACATGACAATGAGACCTTCGAAACTCATTGAATAGTCTGCTKCGATATCAACCAATACAAACTAAACCTTGGATCACAGCTGTCGATAGAAGGATCAATCACGATGACAAGGCTTCCTTAGTCACGTACATAATGTCCCGAGGCCTCCCTCTGTACAGGCTCAATGATGTGAAGCTTGTTAGAATCCCTGGAACTAGCAGAGTGGCCGTTGATCAATCAAGAGAAGACCAGTTCAGGGCGCTGTTCTGGTTGGTGATGTCTCATATCGACAACTCTGCTCTGGATACCCCTTAGACAGGGGAAGTCGTAGCTGGGAGAAACTGGAAGAAGTTTCTGTAGCTGCTCAGAGCCGTAAGATTACCACGCCGGCGGACGCTGGCCCTAGTCATGAGTGTGTAGTAAGTTGAAAGCCTGACTGGACCTGATAAAGATACGAGGCGAAAGGAACAAAACGAATCGGCGAAAGAGAAAGGCCTTCCCGCAGAAAAGTTGGTATGTGGTGTATCGCGTAATAGCCATGTTGCACTTCATTAGCAGGCTTCAGCCTCCATAGAAGTGCTAGTATATGCTGCCCTGGCTGTTTGATTGTTTGGTAGAGCTGTACGATCGTGGAGGAGAGATGAGCGATCTTGCAAGTGCTGATAGAAAAGCACGATAGACAGTCTAGCCCAGAGTTTTCTGCGCATCACCTCCCAATCTGACCCTGCATCCACCTTGCCGTCGGCTCAGAGCGTATCYGCCCATAAGAGCTCATTTCATCCAAGCCACCTCGCTTATTGTCATCGGTCACTCCCTAAGCACCCTATACTTTTGTTCATGCCACTCCTCGCCGTTAAGCCTCAAGCGCACGCCAAAGGGGGAAATCCACGCGCCAGAGCACATCGAAACATGTCTCACCACCGTCATTCTTCTTGGTCGCACCGTTTCTGACAAGGCATTTCTCCCCGTGCTTCTTCCATTTGTCGTCGAGCATCTTCCATTCCTTCTGAGCTCCTGCCTCGGCCACTTGAAGATCTCCGAGAGTGACCTGCTTGTCGTCGCCATCAATCATCTTGAGTAAAGCAGGAGGAAGCATGAAGAGCCGCACTCCGGGCACGTGGGGTCTCGTAATGGCCATTTTCGAGGAGTAATCGCCCATGTTGGGCTGACTGATAGCGTGGAAGGATATATGAACACCCCACACTCCACCTCTGGGAGATTTGACAACGCCACCAGCCAGAAGCAATGGGTTCAAGTCCACCCATTGGATCTTGTCTTCGTCTTGCTTGGCTGATTTCGGCCTCTTTCTTTTCCACCTATTCTTAAGCACGGGTCCCGTCCAAGGAACATGGCGCAGGAATCGGATGCGTTGAGCTTCTGGGCTGTTTGTGATGGTAGCGTGGAAGAACTTGCTCAATCTCATGGCGCGCGTGATGTCCTTTACGGGGAGGAATCGGACGATGTTCTCGACGAGTTCGCCGACGTCGAGAACCTTGTCGCATGCTGGTGATCCTGGGCTGTTGAGGGTGGACATTGTGCCTGATGTTGTTTCTGTCGTGTCAAGGTCGACTTTGAGATGCTTCATAGTGCTGAGGTATCGAGAGAAGGAGATTCTTGCGATGTTGAAACGTTGAGAAGGGGAGATTCTGGTAATGCTGAGGTATCGAGAGGAAGAGATTCTTGTGATGTTGCGCGCGTCAAGTGGCGGGGAAGTGGAGCAGAAGGTTTCATGTACAGTCGGCGGAGAATGTACGTGCGGCGACGTCATCGCCAACATCTCTCTATTATACAACATAGTCATCTGTCTGTCGAGATATCACTCGTCAATACTCAGGGTTACAGACGGTCTCAATCTCGCAAGCAAAGGCCTGCGATTTCCAAAAAGGGGTAAATCATATATTCTGCTCAGGAAGCAGCGCGTGAAGGTGTGCAGGGACAAGATTGATACAAGAAATGGCAGAGAACGAAATAAACATCCTCACGCCTGTTTGTTGCATCTTACTGAGACCATGCTCGCATTTTCTTCATTGTTCCAATGCAACCAAGTCCTTCGCCGCTCCGTGTACGCTAGAACAAGCTTCCAAAATTCCAATGCCAAAAGTACACACCACCGCTCGCCAATTCATGCTTTGCTTACTCCCTCGTTCCATTTTCGCCTAGTACAGGATCACCAATCATCTTCATCCTCATCCGCGACCCTGTCGTTCACGGCCTTGCCATTCAACCAGAACCGACACCCCTCCGGAAACATCATCCTTAACTCCAACTTCCGATACTCCGCCCGCTTACGACCAGCCTCGACGTAAACTCGATCCAGGCCCTCCCTCATAGCGCTAAGAACATGACCGAGAGTTCTCAGGGGCTCATCTTTCAGCTTGATGGCCTGTCCGTACTTCCGGTCGCCTTCGATGCGCTTAATAGGCATGACTTGCATTCCAGGGACGTAGGGGCTGGAGAGGACCATCCGGAGACACAAACTCTCCCTCTCCCATGTCCACTCACCAGCAGCGTCATCTGAGACTTCTAGCTGGATACGCTGCTTAAGGCTCGGGTTAAGGACCAGCCGGCCTCCTCGAGCGTTGATGATATCCTTGGAAAAGAGCATCGGGTTCAAGTGCACATCGTAGAAGTTGGCAATGCTCTTCTCTGGATTCCTCGTGATGAAGTTGGTGCAGCGTGGGCCGGGTGACATTCGTGACACTTCGTCCTCACTGTACGGTGCGATTCCGGGTCCAGTCCATGTGACTCGATCAAGGAACATCTTCCGCTTGATGGTAGTAGACTTGTCGATGGCGCGGCGGAGCACTGGAGCTGTCTGCCTGGCTAGGAACAACTCATCCATCGAAAGGTTGAGTAGTATCTTCTTCGCTAGTTTCCGAGTAGAGAACACCCTTTCCCGGAGACGTTTCTCTCGCTTGGCCCGCTCGAACTGACTCCAGTACGCATCGAGAAGATCAACGCCCTCAAGCTGCGGGAGGACTTCCCAGGGAAGCTCATCCAGACTCACGAATCTTGAATGCGGAAAAAGATTTGCTCCACCTCTGGAATCTGTATCTGACATGCTTTGCCCTTCCTCCTCCAATGTTGCGTAACCCTCTTGCTCAATCCGGAGAAAGTCTCCAAGCGTCGGGCGGAGATTTTTCGAGGCGGACAGGTGGACGGAGTCGTACTGCTCCTCGTCATAGTTCTGGTATGGTCTGGGGCCATAGTGAATGGTCACGTCCTATGTCATTGATGAGCGAGTCAGCACGTTGAAGCGTTCCCCGATCAATAAGAGCACGAAGGGACTTACCCCGCCCGAAACAGGAATGTTTGGCTGGCAGATCATCATCTTGAAGCAGCTGCTTTCTGGGTGAACATATGAGTAGTCCACACCATGTCCTGCAAGATGAAGCCACACTCCGTCTATTTCCCGGTCACCCCGGAATTCCCCACGGGCGTAAATGCAGCCGACGTCCCGGAAGCACAGAGGGTTGAGATGCATCTTCTGGCCTCGAAAATCGCGTTTTTGAAACTCTTCGAAGAACTCCGCATCATACGGATTCTCCTGGATGGTCTCACAGCCAATCCATGGGCAATCCTCCATGAAAAGCTTCCGCCGAATCGACTTGGACGTCTTGTAAGCTGCGGCAAAAGCGGTGCACGCGCGCGTGGCCCCGAGTATGCTCTTGTTGGGGAGATGGAGCAAGATCATTTCTGTCAGCTCGGCGGTACCGAAGACTCTCGCTGCGCTGGACATGATGACGGTGAGCTGAGAGATGCCAGTTGGCAGTAGACGTTCACTTGAGTGCCGATGCGCGGTGATGTTGCACGGTCAAGATGCCGCGGACGTTGATGCTCCCGGCTATAACTGTAAGATGCTGCGATGAGYAATTTGGGCACGATACCGTCGACGAGGGTTTTCCAGGTGTTGAAGGTGCTGTCTCGAGGAGTGGACGACGATGTTGCTGGTGGTGTTGTCGGCATTAAGCGGCAGCAGATCTGCATTCATCTCGGATCTCAATCCGTCTAGCGGGTTCTAGACTTTTGCAACGTCACGCTCTGTCCCGCTTTCTTGTGTTCAAAAAGCCTCGCCTTTCTTCCTTGCATCCTCCAGAACAACATCAACCTCTGTCCCGCTTTCTTGTGTTCAAAAAGCCTCGCCTTTCTTCCTTGCATCCTCCAGAACAACATCAACCTCCATCTTCAGGAATAACAACATCAACCTCCATCTGCAGAAATAACAACATCAACCTCCGACTTCAGGAATGGCTCCCTCGACGTCCTCCGACATGGCGACGTTGTCAAAACCACCACCGCGTCCTCTAATGCGCAACTTCCCACTCCCGCGCGAGCTGCGCGACCATATATACGGCTACCTGCTGCATGCAGACCACGCACCACACAACAATATACCAATCACCCATTTGCCTGCGACCCCTACCTTCGGGCGGCCTTACTCCTTCTCGCTCGAAATCCTCAGAGTGAACAAGAAGGTGGGAGGCGAGGCCAGAGAGACTTTACACACCCCCAACACCTTCATCACCATTACAACGCAATATAGCATACTGGTGGGGATCCTTCAGGATGTCCAGTTTCCGTGCGTGGTCGTGAGCAACGATGAGCTTGGACGCTTCAAGCACGCCAGCATGCACGTTGACGTTGTGCCCGACTTTAACCACAAACACCCATACTTCCGACCAGTGCACTTTGTCATCCTCCTGCGCGATTTGAAGCTCTTCTGTTCTATCTTCCAATGGTTCCTCTACAGCAGGAACCCTCGGAAAGGTATCAATTCTAGCACACAAGCGGGAGTCTGGCCAGTCGGTATTTCCATCAGATTTACCCTCAAGCGCACGGAGTACAGCCTGCAAACCGCGCAACGGGACGAGAGGCTTCTTACGCCGTTCCGAAACTGCACCTCGGACAACTTGAAAGTGTTTGTCGTCGACTACGCCTGCGATCAGAAATTTGTCAGGTCACTGCTGTCTCGCATGACTGAGGAACTCGGCTCTGAGACCCCGATCGCGTGGCAAGTCCTCCGGACGCTGACGAGCCTTGTCGCGTTCTCTGAAGAGGCGGAACTCCGTGGAGATTCCTGGACGGCCTCGCAGATTCTGAGATTTCTTGTCAGCGACGGCACAACATCCAAGATCGGCGCCCGTATGGGGTACAAACTCATACCAACACAGCCGCATTGCGGTAATGAAGCTGCGCGCCGCGTTGAGGTGGTCCTCATGGAATGTACTGCCCGCAACCTCTTCATCCAATTCAAGGTCTTTGATGTTCAACGAGCCAGCGATTCCTTTGACCGGTTTCACCAAGCAGTCATGCTCATACTGAATGGTGAGATGTACGACGAGCTGCTGCCACCTCCGGTCAAGGCAAATCTATCCCTCGAACTTGCAAGATGCTTCATTTTGAAGAACCTTCTCGCGCAGCTAGACCAGCCGGATGCCATCAGCGGTGCGATCACACAACTCATCGCTTTTCACATCCGGGCTCCACAACACAAGTCCGTCGAGCAAGACCTAAAGGCGCTGAAAACCATGGAGTCGACCATCAAGGTATGCGATTTCCGCAAAGCAAATGCTGCAAACTCCACTAATAACTCCTCGCAGACGACTTCCTTCAATCGTACAGATCTCCTCAGGGACTTCTTTGCGAATCTCGTCTTTCCCTCGTCTACGACATTGCTTCCTGACGTGTACGAATATGTCGTGCCAGAGTGTATGCAAGGTTGGAAGGACACCGGGAAGCCGCAGGATCCATGATGGTTCGACGCGTCGACCTCACAGTGGGCGATTCGTTGAAGCTTTGCTTTCGGGCTCTGCGGTCTGTGGAGTTACATGACTGGTCTCTAGGGGTACGGCGAAGGAAGGCTCAGAGTCAACATCGCGATCTCATTATGGACTGGGTATACTGTTTGGGTGGCTGTACTTCATCGCCGTTGGTGCTTTTCATAACGACTGCGAGCCTTGATACGATGAAATCAAAAAGTTGAATATAAGGCAGATTCTCCCCGACAGAGCTTCGCTGACAGAGTCTACTGTTCCAGGCAGTAGTCCAACGGGAGAACTCCCTCTCGATTGCTTGCTGGAAGACGAAGTAGTCTCAGATATCTAGTTTGTGAACGATTGTTCAAGGCAATTCGCAAACCCGATTGATTTCAAGCAAAGAGCATGGATGTAGCACACAACTAATCTCTACATCTCTGATCGCTAGCAAGTATCTCTGGTGCGAGGATGCGGCCAACTGACACGCCTCCTTCAGGGAACAAGCATCCCTCTTTCACTGAATCTCGCGCGCATATTGACATCCACCCCAGGCTTGACTGTTCTCTTTCCTTCCGGAATTCGTGACAGAATGTTCGACCGTCATAGAGATGGGGCGCCCCACTGGCTTGTTATGCGTGCAGAAGTTTCCACGCCGAGACACAGCCAGGCGAAGGGCGTTCTTGGTTTTAATAGAACCAGCAAGGAAGGCGCAACCAAAACCGATGCGTAGAGCCAACACTTCGATCTGCACGAGCAGTCGCGCTCTTCAGCTTGATCGCCTGCCAGATAGCTTCGACAGTCCCACCAGCGCTGAATGGCTCCACGTCAACATGGTCACCTCGACGCTTCTGCACCCTCCTGGTCAAATTTTGGCCACCTCGTTCCGAACTGGAGAGTAGCTCACCTTTTGTGGGACCACGAACGTATTGCTTGCGAAACATTCAAGCGCCCGATGGCGAAGTCGTGCAGTTCATGTCTGTCTCCTTCACTTTCCAGGCACTGACTGGCTCTGCCTCCGGATGGTAGCACGGTAAAAGGACCAATTCTTTCCAAGTGGTGCAACATGGCTGCTCATTGTCCACGACTGGTCAAGCGGGAACCCTCAGATCTTGCGGAGTGCCATCAAGACCTCTGCATCGCGAAGATGGCTTTTCCGGGTGTCGACATTATCAAGTTCGACTGTTGAGCTTTTGAAGACATCATCGACAGGGAGAGTCCTTGCCTTGTACAAAGGAGAAGCACTGGATCTAAATCTGGCGTCCCGGTATCTTCCTGATACTAATCAAGCCACACATGACTGGAGATAGTCTAGATCATCAGAAATCTGGGGCAATGGTAGGCTGGACGGATAATGCTGGGCAGGAAATGAGGCAGAGCAAGGCAAAGCTTGGGTTTCCAAAGCTGTGATACGGAAGAGCAGTAATCCTTGACTGCAAGGCTGCAGCTGCGAGCTCCCGTTGGTATCGTGAATGGGTGGAGGCTCGGAATAGCCCGACTCCTTCTCGCGAGTTAGCTCCTCGATCACAGGTAAGGGCCACTTCCGTGATGTTCAACGTCCAAGCTCCGTTTTTTCCGGCGTTGCGAAAGCTGAGAACGCGCAGACAACAGGACCGAGTGGTAAAGCTTCGCGAGCAGGTTGATCGTGATAGAATCGGGAAGCTCCATTGGAGAAAATGAGTCCCACGCAGTGTCAAAGAAAGCTCAGCATATGCGCAGAGGTAGAGCTCTGGGTAGCCAGAGTTAATCATCGTTACATTCACAAAGTAGTCTCCCTCCAACCCGATGGTGATCGTACTGGCCTGGATTGAGACAGAACTTGGAAGTAGATTGTCGCATACAACTGGTGGGAAACCTTTGAGATCAGTTGGGAGATATTCAACGTGACGGAGCTGGTGACTTTGGACTCTGAGTTCGTCAATTCAGTAGAACCGAAAGCACCTCGCTGCTTAAAGTTGACCTGATCTCGTCGCCTTCCAGTCCAATCTCAAGGATCTCAAAAGGAGACCAGCAAAGCGTGGGTGAATTAAACTCCCACACTCGCGGCATAGATCCAGTCAGAATGTCAACCAWGCAGACAAGGTCAGAAAGGGTCGCGTCCGGCTTCGGCGGAAGATGAAGCATCATATCCTGAAGTAAGGGCGAAAGCAACGACCTTCAAGAAAACCAACCCTGCGAAAAGGAATGGATATGAATTATGTGCTGAATCGCCGAGCAGAAACTACCCTCGAAACGACAATTGATCAGGGTTGCGCGAATGGCCGAACTCGGGGTCGCATAGCAAGAATCGCGTACAACTCTTTCACGAGCATCCCTGGAGAAAGCGCTTCTACTCGAAAGCGCTGGTGGGACAGCATCATGGCGCATGGAAAACATGAAGTGTAATATGATGATAGAGTATTGTTGCAAGTCTGACTTCCCGCGCTATCGTTCTCTTTGAAGTGCTTCATCCACGTCAACTCGGTCGAGATCAGGTCGTGCATTGCAGCCGACTACACTGACCCTCGTGATGATGAATCCTGATGCGGACCAAGTCAAAGGCATACGAGACTGAATGATTGCCTGCTGCAGCTGGGCTTGAAGCTTCCACACATTGCCATCGTTCGTCCTGGAGCGGCCTGCGGGCACCACAGACAAAGCATCAGACTGCGTCCCTCCTGACATCGGTTTTTCCAAGACCTGCGGGCAGCACGGACAAATATCTGACGACCCTCGCCATCCTTTACCCACCTTTCCTCAAGAAGCCTGCTGGCAGCACGAACAATCATCGGACGGGATTTGTGATGAGCACGATCGTTGTAAGACCTCTCCCTCTTGGCATCATTCGTCACGCGGCACGAGCAAGAATCGGACGGAATTCGCGAAGCTCGATGTAGACTTTTCCTCCTGGCATCCTTCGTCTAGCGGTACGAACAAGTATCGAATGTGACGATAAGCGCAGGGAGTGCAAGATCAGCCCCTCCTGACATCGTTTCACGCAAGGCACGCTGGCAGCRTAAACGAACATCAGTCGGAATTTGCGATCAGTCCAGTGAGTAGAAGACCTCTTCCTCCTGGCTTCATCCATTCCGCAGCACGAACAAGCATCTGACGGTATTCGCGAAGGTTGACGTAGGCTCTTCCTCCTGGCATTCTTCGTCGAACAGCACGAATAAGTATCGGACAGAATTCGCGATGGACTAGGTGAGTAGGAGACCTCTTCTTTCTCGCATCATTTGTCTCGAAGTGGCCTGCCGGTAGCTCGGACGAACATCGACCGGAATTGGCGATGGGCACGCTGCGGTAAGTGGAACACCTCTTCCTCTTGCGATCGTTCATATCAAGGCCTGTCCGCAGCGCCACGATCGTCGGACGGCATTCGCGAAGTACGAAGGTCTTCCCGCAGCACCAACAGCAATCAGACGGTATTCGCGAAGTAGCGTTCGTCGAAAAGTCCACCGGCAGCAGCATGGACGGCAATAAGACGGTATTCGCGAAGTAGCATTCGTCGTGAGATSCGCCGGCAGAGCACAAACATACGCCATCAGACGGTATTCGCGAAGATTGATGCAGCCCTTGTTCATCGCCGAGAGCACCATAGCCTCATAGGACCAAGACAGGTCCTCCGCGCTCATCAAAGCTGCTCGATCAGGTGACGGTGAGTATTCATTGGCCATCCAAGGTGACAAGCCAGGATGCCAGGATAAGCTACAGTGAGTGCTTGAAGGTGAGTTCCTTCTCAGTGATCTGCGACGCCGATATACGGTGCTGACTGCGCCCAAGGAAATTTTCCCTGACTCGAAATAGTTTCCGGCGATATCAATGTGGTCTTCGCTGAGAAGGCCTGCTGCTCCTGACTGCGACATTTGTACATTGCTTGGATCGACGGCTCGCTGGGACAAACCATGGTCTCGCTGTCTCGCGGTCCGACGACTGAGTATTCAGACGTATCGACGGTGCGAGAGCAATAAGCGTGCTCTGTTACGCGGAGGAGAAAGCTTTGTTGAAGCGGGTGACATTGTGCCTTGATTCGTCGGAGTACTCTTTGTCTGTTCACCCAACATCCTTTCAGCTGAAGTCAAAGGGACGCGGCTACGACCCGCGGCGACTGAGGACCTTCACGGTACTGAAGTCAAAGTAGAGTGGGCCGATCTGCTCGAGCATGATTCCGAAAAATGGTTGCGAGAAAGGCTGTTCCGAAGGGCCCATAATGGCGGTGCAAGCGGACTCGAGCTCATGGTGCCCGATGGCCATGAAGTGACCGGTCCTCGCTCGGTATCTGCAAAGTATATTCAAGATTCATCGTTGGTCTGGGTAAGACGAGCCGAGGAAATCTTTGCATGACGGTATCAGTACCGCCAGTCCAAGCGTATGTGTGCCTCGGGTTCTTCACAGTTGTACAGTTGCACCTCTTGATCTTCATCTTCGTCTCCTTCATGCACGGCGACGGAGTGTGGATAGCCGCTCAGATCGGCGAAAAGTCGCTTAAAGGCAGAGTTGACCGATACACCGACTTCCTCGACTGTCGTCTAGCGAGAGTAGGACAGGTGAGATAGCGGTGTTTCATTTGGACACGGATGCGCGCTGAGCCTGCTGCGCCAAAAGTGTCAAGGGCCCGCGTGGAGATAGTCAATGAGATCAATTTTCTCTTCTAACTCATCATCTCGCGAGAGGCAAGGACACCTTTATTTTCAATCGATGATCCGTACTGCCATCGATGTCTCTAAGCCCAAGTCCCAGGGACGCGTTCGATCTTGCGAAGTGAACTGTTGAGAAGGAATGGCCAAGAGACAGGTAGAAATACGGGCGTTGCTCTCTTACTCGTTTCGCGTCGCTCAAGATCGTGAGTGGACTGAAATGGAGGTATGTCGTTTGATGCGCGTACGGATGCCGATGGTCCACATGTTTCGACGCGTCAAGACCGTCGCGGACACGCGAGGAGGAGGCAGAGCAAGTAGCGAAGCAGACTCTCTCTTGCAAGGAGGCGGTTCCTCTGTTGTGAACGCCGATGCCGTCAAGGCCGAGAAGCAGTGWGAAAATCGTTCGTGGCTATCCACTATGCCCTACCTCCATCGCCGCGTAGGTAGTCCCGAGAGGCAGATCCATTGCATCGGAGACAGTGAGGAGCACTTTGAAGAGTTGCGCCGCATCCTCCTTTGCTGCAGGATCTCAGCAACTCTTGCGACGTTCATGGTGTCCCGGGAGGTGCGAGTCCTAATGTCGTAGCGCTGCTTGACGCGTCGAAAGCTGTTCGATCGGCAGCGTGCAAGAAAGGGATTGGCTGAAGTGGATGAAGCTTTCGCCGTGTATGTCCTCTTGAACCGCTCTTGCCGGAGGGCTGCTTCTTGAGCATTGCCATGCCCATTGATGCTGTCGCCTTCGTTCTCCTCGGCGCTCTCGACGCATGTTTCTATCGGCCCCAAAGACCATCCCGAAGGAATGCTTTTACCGAACTTCACCGTCGTATATCGGCAGAAATACCGGGAATTGTCGTGACGGTCGTCGTGGCGGTGGAGGGTTGTCATTGATGTGGGCCAGGCAGGCAAAGGTCTTCTTTCATGTCGCCTTTGCTGTGCGTTCGCGAGGGAGATGAATCGTGATGGCAAATGGCCTTCCCTCTCCCACCGTGTGCTCCATCCTGTGACCTTGCTATCGTGTGGTTCCGCCTTTCTGTACTGGCCATTCCCCCTCCCGTCGYCGACCGGCTCAGCGTCTACAGAGGCGTTGATCATGTACAGGAATGAGCGTTGAGGAATGCGTCCGCCGATCGAAGGAGGGACTGTTGTAGAAGATGTTGCCGTCGTTTAAATGGTGTGGAGGCTGCCAATGGAGGTCAATCTGGGCATGGCGGAGGACTTTCCCGCAATCGAGATGGTGCAGATATGCTGAAGGGGGGATGTTTATCAATGGAACTGCTTCTTCCTGCCGCCGTGGCCTCTTCTCGCCCGTCTATTCAGGCCTCTCAGCTCGCTATGGGCATCTTCACCGATTCGATCGGGGACCGATGGCCTTCCGCAGGCTGAATGCTGTAGTTCACTCCGGCCTGCGGAAATGTTGTCGAGGAGTCTGGCGATGTGAGTAGCTCCTGGTCGTTATGCGGACCGCATCCATGAGTCATCGTCATAAGAAACCTGCTTCTGGTTCTCCTGGTATGCTCGCCGTCGGCGGAGCGGAAAGCTCGGAGTTGGAGTTGGAGGGCCTCCTCTGCAGACACTGGCTGTTGCAAATTCCCTCCAACCATAACGAGAAGGCAGCAACACGCGAAGAACACGCCTGCAATTCCTCGCCAACATGGAGAGAACCACAATAACTTCATAGCAATGAATCATACGCACCGTAAATACTGTCCATCTGCTCCTCCCTCGTCCCTGTGTCATATCCACCGCCTCACCGCCCCTCCACCCCCTCCCTCTCGCCTGAAACGCGTCACGTCCTACCCGTTCCGCTGCCTAATCGCCGAAGACCTTTCCGCAAGGGGAGATCTCGGCCCAGCACGCAAAGAACCTATTTAGCTCCGCGCAATTCCCTGGATTTCATGCAATTGCACATGCTTCCCGGAGCTCAGTTGGCCGAGTGGTCCAACAGGTATGTACCGTCCCCTTTGCTTTCTTGTCATCATCACAACCGCAATCGAATAAGTCATCCGACTTGGGGAGTTGCACCAGCCACCGGGCGACTCTGGAATACAGCCTTCGGGCCTCTTTTTTTGGCAATGTTTTGGAGGTGGTTTCTTTTTGGGTGGTGGTAGCTTTGGACTTGGTGGTTTGAAATTTTGGTAGGGGGAGGCGCGGGTTCGAGTCCTTAGTCCATGTTGTACCTGCTTTACTGCATGCCAACATTTTTTTGCAGTACCTCCGATCCCTCACCGTAATTATGGTCAGGTACGCAGGTCTCTTCGTCGCAAGAGCCCATTGATTCCCGGACCTACTCAATAATCATTTCATTCTCGTCCACTTTCCATCATTGGACAACTTGAAGTTGCATTGGAGGCCACGTCGACAAGCAAGTCACCTTCTTCATTCTTGCTATGGAGATATTGTTTTGCATATTGGGCTACGCGGCCCAGACATTCCTTTTGACGTGTCGGTAAAGAGCAAGTCACCTTCTCATCCTCGCAGAAATGAGCAGCCCAGAGCATCTTCTCAGCCCATTCTGGCATTCCATGCATCTTGACAACAAAACCGTCACCACCTGTCCATCATCCTCCACCCTCCTGCATTGTTGAACAACCTATGTTCCAAGCTAAATAGCAAACAAGACGCTCTGCAGCGACGCGACTCAATTTATCCATTGATCCTGTGCACGGCTTCTTCCACAGAGTTCCCGTCAATGTACAGCTTTCAAGTCCGGTCAATCGTGTTCGAAGCCTTGCTTTGCCTCGAACACCCCGGAACAACCACCGAGAAGACACCTCATTCGACTACCTCCATCCTTGCAATGGAACAAAGACGCGAAGTCAAACACCGCACGAATGATCGAATTGCCGGCCACTTTTGAGAGTAGATGCAGCGATGGATGATGGTCCCTGTTCCCTTCCCGCAGGCCCGCAATGGAGTAGACTTGAAAAATCACGGCACACACGATCTGCAGAAAGATTTCGACATGATTGGATTACGGATACACGATACAGGCGTCGTTCCATCGGCTACGATTATACCGTCACGCTGGTCCAGGAGATGATGATGTGGCAGACTTGGGCGACGACACTGAATATGGGATGCTTCTGACATTGCTCAAACTCATCCTCTTCACTGGGTGTCGTGTTCGACCGCATTGCTGAAGTTTGTCATACCAAATGCATGAGCGGGAAGAGGCTTGGAGTGTCAGGAAGTAGGACGGATTCGACTTTGGTTTGCTATCACGTTGACTCAAGTCTCTTACCATTGAGAGAGATGGATACATACAAGTAGATTGTTCCGCAAGGACTTGAGGCCTGCCCGGAGTCATTTGACTYCCTATGGCGCAGAGCGCGTCGGACCACTGTTCGCGAGAGTTGGGTTGGATTTGCAGGCTAGAACCGAGGTAACATGTATCTCAGACAGCCTTGTCTCAGCAGAGATGGGAATACTCGCCCCCAAAGCAGCCTGGAAGCAGTGCATAGTGTCTGCGCGGTACCCGCAGGTCAAATCAAGAGCAAACACACCACTCCGCTGCCCACCCGAGTCGAGTCATTGCAGAGAGCGTAGACCTTGTAGTAGGAATTCATGCAGAGACGAAGCGTCGCGTTGCTCTTGAGAAAGCGGCGGCAGCCAGTGTACTACGTGAAGGTATCCTAGTTCAAGTCTGATCCACCCGGATGGAGTGGGTCTCCATGTCCAGGTCTGCGAGCTCCAAGATCGTGTCCAGCATCCACGCCTGGATCTTCCAGCCATCTTGGCTGCTACGCGTCGCGGAGTGTAGGTAGAGATGTGCGGATGGCGTGCACAAGGTATTGACCCGACATCCGCTCGATTCCCTCTCGCCGCTTTCGCTCATGACCTTGACAGTAGGAACGTGCTCCGATGGAAAGCAACGGACATCACACTGCACGCCATCTCTCTCTACTTCGTGGCCGGGACGACAGCGGGCGAGCTTCACGACCTCCGCGTGCTGGGCGGGAAGATGCAGCAACAGCTCGCACGGGGGAGTCGTGGCCACCCCTCGTCTTCCCTTTGCGCTCGTTGTGCTGGCGTTGGGTCAAGGCTGGAGTCCTCACATGCCGGGTCAAGATATTCAAGGTCAGTGTCATCGTCGGTGTGGTAGCTGTCAACCGACACGTGTCCAATACAGGCACTACCAGAAGCATCTCCAAAGAAGCAGTCTAGCTCGACGTCCCGCAGGCCGGTTGGAATGGCATACTTGCATGACAGACGATTCTCCTGTGCCCTCGCTTGCTTGAGCGTACTGCAAAGCTTCTAGGCGATCTTGCGCCACGATGTGAGGACCTTTGCGTCGCAACGTCAGGTCAGCGGAACTGAAACGACTCGTCGCCGCAAAATCTCAGCACACTTGACAGAGCGGCAAGCTTAGAGCTTGGGATTGATGGATACGTTCCTGCACATATTGCCGCGTGCCCAAGGCGTTCCGWCGAAGTTCTTGGCTCGACCTGCGCAGTGATCCGAGACCTTCTCTTCATGGTCCGGAATGAACCCATGGCCGCAGGCTGTGCATCTCGCGGAGATAGTGCAGATGCAGCCACCACGAACACTGAAGTGCCAATTTCGTTACGATCAGAGACGATGCCAGGGCGTAGAACACGTTCCTCCAAGTCCTTCTGGATTGGTGAGGGTAGAGAAGGCTCCCTTACTTCCCAGGTCGTCCGCCGAAATGGGCAGAAGAAGGTTTCACGGTTGCTCGCAAAGATGTGATGAGATTCTGTTCCAGATGTGCCGTCGCGGTCCGACGCAAGTCCTGCCACCGGGTCGAGTTCATTCGTTCTGCTTGGGTGGGAGAACCGAACAGCTTCGCAATGATGTATGCAATAGCAGCACTCGCGGCCTTGCATGATTCATCGCCATTCTATCGCACACTGCGTTCTTTCTTAAGTGTAAGCAGTTTGCCAGCGGGCTTTCTGTCCTTTGTGTAATGCTGTTCCTCTCTCGATGAAGTTGTTCGCTGTTCTCACCGCGGCAGCGCAACATTTCTTCTCCGGGTTGGATGGCCTGCAAAGCAGCCGACCAGGTCAACCTCTTTGGCGATTCGCAGTAGACAACACCAAGGCAAGGTCCAAGGGAGATTACATTTCGTGTCCGCACCGACTGAAGCCTTGACAACTTGTGCGACGCGCAAACGTAAGTTGCTGGGTCTCAAAACGGCCATGTCCACCTTTTCTGATCTGACTTTGCTCTCTGGCTGAGATGCCGGATGTGCCGTCGCTGTTGGTTGTGCATCATCCTTCAGCAGAGTACTGACCTACGGTATCGATCTCCAAGATGGCTATGCTATGGCTTTCATGTGGCTTCCATCATCGTGTACGGTAACAAGGGTTTCAATGTTGATGAAGCCGACCAAGCCAACCTGGGAAGTCAGCACTCGATTGCGAAAATGCAGCAAAAGATTGCCACATGATGTGGTGGAAGGAGATGGGATGCCATTCCTATTCAAAGAGATGCGGCTCGCAGCGATCGCCTCCTACCTGTTGCAGACGAGGAGGCCACAAGATCTACTCACCTGCGGATCTGTTGGATTATGATTCGGTGGAGAATGGAGACTCCTTCTGGACATCCGGTCTTCCGTTAAGGAGATGTGGTGAGCGACGACTTTGCTCCGGCGGGCTGGTCAGACTACCAAGTCATCGCTTTGTGGAATGCAAGTGGTGATACCTGAGAGGTATGCAATGGATGTGTCCCAACGCTTCCCAGGTTCCGAGAACGGATGAGATGGCAGCCACATCGGCCTCTCTTGACCAACTCCTTGAGAGAAGGGGTGGTCCCTAGTAGGGGCCCAGCAGGACATTGCAAGGCGAGAGTGCAGCGGGGAGCGGCGCCGTCTTGATCTTCGGGGTCTTCTGGAAAATAATGTTACCAAAAAGTCTGTCATTAAACGCAGCACTGCATTCATGGACTGCGTTACCATCTGGTAGACGCCACAAGAGGGAAGTCTTGTTGCAAGTTGGATACCTGAAGGCTTAACAGCAAGATACGTGGATAAATTTGACAAACTTGTGGGGGGAGGGAGGCACCGAGCCTTGCTGAGGGGAAGCATTTGCTACCAGCAGCCCCAACAGCGGACGAAGGGGGGCGTGGTTCTGCAT